AAAGTAAATTACAGCTATTATGTATGACGTATTCATATTGAATTGATTCTATTACTTGGGAAGTTTTCCAACTTTTGATAAAATTGCTTTTCTGCAAAGTGTAAAGCAAATCTTCAATATAACTGAATATAAAGTCAACTTTTAAAAGTTTGAATGAGAAACTTCCTTTCGGAGGAGAAGAGAGTTAAATTACCATTTGTGTGGAGCAGGAGTTTGAGTTTCGGAAAGGCTAAGAAGTGCCGCAAACATTTATACCAACTTATTATCTCCTTTTACACAAGAGGCGGAAAAATTTAGTTAAGGGTTCCAAAATAATATTTCCCACGCTTTCCGTCTCTTATGCTCTTTGAAAATTATGTTCAAATATATAGAAGCAATTTGGATGGATTTTATTTGCAAAATTATTTGCTCTGAAACTTTCAGAGATAAAATTTAGGTGGCGCCAGGGGCGGATTGGACCGCCGGGACACCGGGCAAATGCCCGGTGGGGCCACACACCGAAATAGGGAACTTGCACATTTCTTTTTTTTATTTCAAAAATGCGTTGTACTACACTAAAGACATATTGTTCGTCGATTTTAATCTGATACTCGGACGGAATGTGAGCTGGTGGCTCCCTACATTAGAACGCCAATGGTTACCTGACGTCACACCTGTTTTTGCCATATGAAACACCCCCTCGCTCTTCATACCGCAAGTATCAGTCAAAAATTGACGAACAATAGTCATGCCAAATATCAAGCATTAAAAATCAGCCGTTAATTTTTTATAAATATTTGAAGTTACGCTCGAAACATCGCCATTTGAAACGACCGATTAGTGTGACGTCACTCAGCAACAAAATTCCGTTCACAGTCCTTGGTTGACAGTGACCTTCGAGCAGGTAGATTTAGATTATGGTTATGTTGTTATGTATGCCGTTTATGATAGATTTGACATTGACAACACCAGCAGCACATGGCGTGGCAGCGGTGCGACCCGATTATTACTGCCTTGTGACGTCAGGACCCATAGAAATACGTTTTTGACCTCGTCAAGAATTTCGAATTATTTGGTATTTTCAATTGAAGATTTTGGAAACCAGAGATAAGATATTATATCCTTTTCCTAATTGCATCATTTATTAGGATGATTGTTATTTTATTTTATTATTTATTTCATATTTAATTTAATATGCAAGTTCCCTATTGGGCCGCCGTCTACCGTCTTGATAAAAAAAACTTCTCTATAAGTTCTTGAAAACCTTAACCTTACACCAAAAATTGCAGCTGCAATAAAATTATCTCCTGAATTGTTCTTCAAGAACGGGGACCAGTTCCTTTACTTTTGTTGCCCAGCCTTACTTTTTAATCCTGTACCGTACGCTTAAACCATAAGTGGCAGGCAAAACCCAGCCCTATTCATCAAAAGAATTAAGAAAACTATGGCCGAGGCGTGATTGCTGTTCGATTATATTTTTGTGTTATTGTCATTGGACTCATTTAGTATATTCTTTTATAATCCCTATCACTAATAACTTCCCCTCTGGCGTACAAATATTTTTTATTCGAAACACTAGAAAGATAGTGTCATTATAGGCCAAGAAGTGGGTCTTTTTGTGCTAAGCCCAACGTTTGAAAGCCGACGTGTAGCGGAGGCCTACAATCGAACGAAGGACAGAAAGACCTTCTGGGCCGAATGGCATACAACAGTTTATCTTCTGCAATATTAGATCTGTTTCCACAGGAATCACAAACCAGTCATTGACTGAAAATAGCCAGGAAACTGGTTGTTGGCGATTTGGACCAATCAAAAACGCTCTAACTGATTTGTGATTTCTGCGGTTAATGTCAGAGCAAAAATCAATAGTTCGAAAATCGGCCCACAAAGTATAAACGATCAGTGGTATAAACCGATTGGATCAAAACTGGATAGTTCTTGAACTGAACATTTGAATTTTGAAGAATCCGAAACAGATTTAATATACATGATGAAAATACATTAATTTCAGCGAGTATTTAACTGGAACACTCGTTCTCGGTTCAAAAACGTCCCACTTTTATTTTTGCAATAATTTAATTTTTAATATTGAACAAAAAATTTAAATCAAACAATTTAGTGCAAATTATGAATAATTTATGCTTTTGGGAACTTGGTCGTTGACGCTGCCATCTAGCAAGAAGAATACGCATAGTAAATTACAAGAACATAGCGCTGTTTGACGCTGCTGCCTCTAGCGAGCAAACATCGAACAAATTATTATGGTCCTAGGAACATAATGGATCACTTCTGTGTCTAGTGTTGACGACAATAATGTTCAAATTATGGACCGCTTCAAGATAATAGTACATTATATACCTAGGTAGAGAAGTTGGTCATTATATACCGAGCGCTTTTATAATGCGTAAGGTATATAATGACTTTCTCTAGCGTGGAATATATAGAATTTTTTTTACTACAGCTGTAATAGAAAATAAAAAATAAGTTTGAAATCTGTGCTAAAATTATTTTTTATAGTTGGAAGTGCTGCCCTCTATCAACATCTATGGTAATTTCCTATGATACATACACGAACCTGTTTTTTTGATTAAATTGACAGTTTGAAATTGAAATTAGATCAATAGAAACCTGTAACGTTATGACAATATCCTTGCGTCATGACGTCATTTTCATTATTGACCTAGGTTTTTTTTCTTTATTTTCATTATTAACCTAGGGAGAGAAATTCAATTTTTTCCGAGAAAAATAGATTGAATAATAACTACTCAGGTTAGTAGTAAAAAAAAAGTATTTTTCAGCGTGGCTCTCAAAAAAAGTTCCGCCGTTCCGCCTCCGACTAGGGTTGCCACCTTCAAACAAATTGTCGTTGTGACAGTCCTGTCACGTCATTGCTTGTTTGCTAGCGTGAGCTTTGAAAGTCTAGAATAAACCTAGGGAATAAACGTTTTTCCCCAACCGTCAAAAAAAAGTTGACATTTTTAGACTATTCTGGTGCAAATGCTGACAATTCTCGTACCGGTCTAAAATATGCTCGTTGCTTTCTACTTTCAATTAATCAGTTATGACCGTTTGCACCGTGTGACATTTTTACATGTAAAAATGTCTCTTGAAGCGTTGATTATCGTTAAACCTCCGTTAAAATGGTCGGTGCAGATCAAGGTAAATCACTTTTAATCCGGCCGGCGGATTAAAAGTAAGTTGTTTAAAAATTCAATTTGTCGTGATTGGGGAAAAATAGTACATATCATGCGGACTAGAAGCTAATTTTTTCCTCGCAATAGACCTACCTATTTTTACCTGGTTTGCACGCGCAACACGAGGCTTTTTCATTGGCTAACTACTACAGGTGTGAGGTGTTCGTTTTGCACACTGGGCATCTCGTTATCCTTGTTAATTGCCCGTGATCTGACAAGAATAGAAGTACGGTTGATATCCAACTTTACATGGCTTGATAAGTGACATTCGAGAGATATTTGAAATTTTCATTGACAAATACGTTGCGCAACACGCGGTCTTTCTCCGTCCCTTTTTATCCGGTGCAAATAAAAAGGACGGATTGTAATTTTAGTATGGTATTGGAGTCTTTGCCTAATACAACTTCCGCATTTCTATTACTAGCACAGCTTCCTGAAAGTATCAGTGACGAAGTCATGCAAATGATTGAACTTGAACTACAAGGGCATCCAAGTGTTCGAGACAAATTTAAATTCACAGAAGTTAGCTCTGATTTTATTGAGAAGAAGTTGCTGAGAATTGAAACAAATGCGAAGAGAGTGGATGATATTGAAAATGAAATACTTTCTCTTGTTGTTCCTATTTTGACTAATCAAATAACACAATCATTAACTCCTCGATCTGTACTTCAGAGTATCCATCTGTCTGGAAGTGTGCAAACGTCATACCCCTTCCTAAAGTTTCAAATCCCACACATAACATTTAGTTTCGTCCTATAAGTACATTGCCTGCTGTGTCCAAGGTACTGAAGAGGGTTGTTAACGAATAACTTGACGATTATTTTAATGGTAATCAAATTGTGCCGGTCACACAGTCTGAGATTCGCCCACTTCATAGTACTACCTACTATTGGCAATACTGCGTATTAGGCCGTGTTTATGTTGGAGCTGTGATAAACGATAAAAGCAACGATACTAATGATACTTTACATTAGTATCGTTGCTTTTATCGGGTATCAGAGCTCCAACATAAACACGACCTAAAGCTAAACTGCCAAATTTTGTCATCAATACGACAAGCAGGTCTTGTGTTGGAAAGAGTCTATGACAGTTTTTCCGTTTATGTTACTCTTTCCCAGAGATCTAACATGGAAGAGAATATAAAAAAAAACTTGATTCATTTGCCAAGACGAGGAAACTGCAAATAAGCCTATAAAATTGTTTAAGGTTTTGCTCTCGATTAACGAATTTGATACGTTGTCAAAGTTTTGCATTGGTCAAGGTCTATAAGTATGATGTGGTTGGAGCACATTCTAACCCCTGATTACTTTTAACGGCTGTCAAATGAGAGCAAAAGTACCGGCACTAAAAGTTCTAAAGGCCATGTTATGCTTGATAAAGCAGAAATCATTTTGTGTTCTCGAAAGTTTCCATACAAATAACAATCCAAACAAATAATTTTTGGGAGCACTATCAAAAGTTCAACAAATAGTGCTAGAATAGTAAAGATATTGCATATAGATATGGTCACAGTTGTTGCTACCATTTATTGGAGGAATTTGAAACGGAGGTTACGTTTTCCGCTGTGGACGCTTCTCGAGTCAGCCCTCCTGGGACAGTTCTAGAGAAAGGTCGGCATACCGGATGCGCACTCAATAATTTCGATAGGTTTATCGAAAGTACTTCAAATAAAACTACACTGAATGACACAGTGGGTATAATTTTCCAGGACCAGGTTGATACAGGAGAATGTGCAGGAGGTGACTGCAACGCTGTGACTGAAGCTACGCAGTATCGTGCCGGACAAAAAAGAAGATGAGCTTTTGAAGGCTTTATAAATGAAATCAGACCAAGAATTGAAGCTACCTTACCGGCATATGATAATCCACTGATGCGCGATATGATTCCAAAAAATTTGCAAGATATCAAAAACATTGATTTAGTATGGATGATTTCCCATGCCTGCGAGATCTCAACACCTATGTGGGTTGGATTTAATTCAAAAGTAATAAAAGACGACCAAATTAAACAGAAAGTTCTATATTTAATGCCGATTAATCAGCCACCAACCGACAAATCGGTAGTACTCGAAACGATGAGAAGAGCTATCAGAATTGCAGACGAATGTCATGAACAATACGCACAGGTTACATATGATTTAGGTATTGCGAAAATCGCTGTACCTCTTCAAAATTCAGAACTGTTGGAATTCAAGCGATTATTTGTTCACATCGGAGGTTTCTACATCCTTGCCGCTTGGTATAAAGCAGTAGGTACTTTTATAAATGGTTGTGGCCTAGACACTTTGTTGGTGGAGAGTAATTTAATTGGATGTGGCTCAATAAACGGATTTTTATCTGGCAAAAATTTCAACAAAGCAAAACGATTGCATACTCTATTATATGTATGTTTGCAATCACAACAATTTCATTACTTTTTACAAATTAATGAAATAGAAGTAAGTCCAAATGTGAAAGTTGCATTACAAAATGTCAGTGATGATACATCTCTAAACGAAGTAATCGAAAATGAAGAATTATCAAGAATTTTGAGTAAATTTGAAGAATTTCAAGTTCAAAATGGTACATATGGCAAAACACAAAAATTTTATGCCATTTACTTGCAACTTATTAATTACTCTTTACTATTTGATCGCAGTATTCGCACAAGAGATTTTGAATTATATTGGTTTGCGATTGCTAAAATGACTAGCATTTTTTTCGCTGTCAATCAGCAGAATTATGCTCGTTGGTTGACATGGTATTTGGACTCACTTCTAAACGTAGAAAACACTCATCCTGGATTGAAACAAGAATTTATGAGCGGAAGCTTTGGGGTTAAGAGAACGGATAAATCGTTTTCCAGATTACCCATTGACTTAACTCTTGAGCAAACTATCAATACAGATGCTGGGAGGAAGTTGAATGGTATAACACACATTACCAATTCTATAGCAGCTCGACAGAGATGGTGCATAAATCATGCCCTCAGATGTGCGCTAATAGCTGCCGTGTAGGATGAATGTGGACTAAATATTGCCCAAGATTGCACGAATGATTTGCTGCCTAATCGTATCAAAAGAACTGAAATGCATAAACAGGCTTTTTCGACAAGCTTAAATTACCGCATGAATCCCTTTTCTAAAGAACTCCTTGCGGATGAACTTTCTAATATACCCACTGGTAGAGCAGCAACAGTAGATGTTGAAAATTATCTTTTAAACATCGAAAGTATAGGTGAAGATATGAAGAAGCAGATGATTGATAAGTGCCACGCTAACAAAAATAATTTTAGCTCTTACACAATAAAAAGACAGAAAATTCAAAATTTTACTGTTTGCACATCGAAAAAAAAGATCAAACTTGGAAACAAAGTTCAAGAAGTCAAGCTACAAAGAGATTTGTTTGGACGATTACTAGGAATTGCAATGGAGTTGATATAGAAAAGGTATATGCACATTATGTTAATAGACACTAATTTCTGTTTATCATTTTTTTTTTCCAGATTTTGACCTATCCGCTTACACCAGTACCTTTATCATTATGTCACTTAGATGGCACAATTAATAAAACTAATAAATGTGCTTTAGCCAAAATCATCGAAAAAAGCATTACCGATCATGAGGAGCCACAAAGTGCCCAAATTATTATGGTCGATGGATTTTTCTTTTTGCACCAAATAAAGCAAATACCGCAAAAATTTGGTGAAATTTCAAAGAAAATCCTTCGTATCTTGACAATGGAAGATTCTTCACAGATATACATCATTTTTGACGAGTACAAAACACCATCATTAAAAGAGAACGAGCACATTATGAGGGATACTTTTTATCTTGACTACAATATCACAGGTGAAGTAAAACTTAAGCAAACTGATATAATTTTCATACTTAACTTTTATAAACATAAATACTCCAAAAAAGGCCCAACCAAATTTTCAAAACGGTTTTTTTTTCTTCAACAAACACTGTTAAAATTTCTCACGCTAATAATGTAAAGTATGTAAACCAAACATGAATAACAATGCATAGAATTCGAAGGGAACACAATTTTTTTTCTATTCCAGGCCTTGGCTGATAATGATCTTCGGCTATTGACTCGGATCACAAATTTCAGCCCGGCCGTTATTTGCTATTTATCGGCCTTATAACGTTAATAACTATAATAATTGATAATAGGTACTCTATAATTTTATATCTTTTATGTAATTTTTAGGTCCAGAGCAAAGCCGACCAACTGATTTTGCGGCGGAATTGAGAAACATAAAATTCAAAATAGTTATTTTTCTGAGATTGACAAGAAATGTCAGCATTTTTGACCAGTTGACAGGTCGCAAAACCCAATATTCTGGTATTTTAATTATGTTTCCATAGTTGCTAAGGAATCAATGAATAACAATACGAGAATCACTTTTCCGGCCTAGGCCGGGAAAGTGATTCTCGTACTGCTGAACAATTGGAACAAAAATACAAACGTTTAACAGATATTTAACCGATCTCAGAAAAAATAGTATGTGAATTTCGGTGGAAAAGCACATTCTCGGCCTTCGGTGTTTTGCCGGCCTCGGCTACGCCTCGCCCGTCAAGTTACACCGTCGGCCGAGAATGTGTCACTTTTCCACCTAAATACACAATATATTATTGTGCAACCAGTTAGGAAAAGCACTATTTTTCGTAACGAACTGATTTCTGCAGAACGAGCGAAGCGAGTTCCGCAAAAGGAAGAGAGTCACGAAAAAGCTTTTTCCTACGAGCGTGCGCAAAGTAGTACTTTTCCGCACGCATTACAGTTCTCAAAGTTTCGCTTTTCCGCACTCAGTGCGGATACGGGCCTTATCCGCACTGAGTGCCGAAAAGTAAAAATAATTGTCAAGCAACAATCAATGCACCTGTCGACTTTGACATATGATGACAAATTTGTTCTCTGTTTCTATATCAGCCAACATCTATACAAACACTGAATATAATCTGACACATTGTCAGATTTGTGTTCCCATTTACATGCAAGAATCTACAAACTTCTTTCGCATCAAATTTAAACGCTTGAAGATGAACAGCTCTGACGAGGATTTCAATTTTCTGTTTTTCTGTTATGTAATTTTTTGATGAATGAATAGGTTCGCTTCAAGTTAATTGAAAATAATTGCACAAATTATCGTTTTTTTTTTTAAATTTTTGTTGTTACCTACCTGATATGAAGCTCGTAGGAAAAATTTTGTTCCTAACACGTGCGCAAAGTGTCTTTTCCGCACGCAAACACTTATCCGAACTCCGCTTCGCGTCGTTCGTATAACTGTATTTGCGTGCGGAAAAGTAACACTTTGCGCACTTGTTAGGAAAATAACTATTTTCTAATTTTGACTTTAAAGTGACACTTTTCAAAACTCGTTGACGTTATCAAATGTCTTAGTTTTCATCACCAGTTACGAAAAGTAAATTTTTTCGCAACTGGTGATGAAATAGCTATTTACCTAACAAGTGCGGAAAAATATTTTCCGCAAGTGTAAGGTACAATATTATTCCTACAGGCGTAAAAATGTAAAATTTTTCATTTTTTTTTGACATATCAGTGCGGTAAAATTTTTTCCGCACTGACAGCCGTGCGGAAAAACTTTTTCCGCACTGATATGTCAAAAAAAAAAGTTTTACCGCACCGTGCGGGAAAACTCATTTTCCGCACGCATATCAGTGCGGAAAATCGATTTTTCCGCACGGCTGTAGGAAATAGTATATTACATTACAAGTGTAGAAAGTGACAAAAATCACACGAGTGTATGAAAGACGCTTTCTCACTAGTGATGTACACCAGTTTTCCTACGACCAGAAACTGATTTACACCAATTTTCTCTTTTTTTATTTCTTCTCATTTTGAACACACGTGCTGAAAGTAATTTCAACTTTCAACCCACGTATTGGCAGTAAATTGTCAAGGTCAATCACAAATGATGTCAACGCTATTTTCCACACATGTGCTGAAAGTACTTTTAGCACGCGTATTGAAAGTACTTTCAGTACGCGTGTGATATTAAGCGCTTTCCAAAGAACCAACTAGTGCGGATTTCGTCATTTTCGTATGAGGTCGTAGGAAAAGTAAATTTCACCATCAGTTGCGAAAAATACAGAAATAAAATTTGTGATAATTATAACGCTAAACTACTTGAAGTATTGTTATTATATTCTTTGTAGTTACATATGGAAATTTAATTTGACCATGAACTAAATTTGACATAGGGCCAAATCATATTTGCTTTTTGACTTCTTAGGAATAATTTATTGTAGATAAAGCAGATTGAGCCGACTCCTCAATGTCACTCGGTACGACGCTTCTTGAAATGATGGACATTAGAATCTAATAATTATTCTTTCACTCTATAAAGTTTGAGTGGTTTATATAAGAACAATATTAATTAAAATTTTTCACTTTTTCAAAAATTAGAGATACAGACTTAACACTATTGTTTCTGTCGCAACGAAAAACGAAATACTTTTAACAAATAAACATCTCTGAATTCACCTGACGCTTGACAATTAGACATAATTATGAAGAAGAAGTATGTTTTTTATATTTTTATCTTGAATTAAACAGGATTACATGGTCAAAATTAGAAAAAATATTGTGTGAAACACGTTGGGAAACACTATTTTGTAGCATTCCTAATCGAACATTGGTCGACCTGTCAGGAAGCTAAACGCTTAATTGGCTCGAAGGAAATTTTCGTTTCCTTCGAGAAGTGTCACTATTTCGCCGTACAAAACGATTATATTACCTGGAAAATACTTCCAGAATTTGGGTGCAAAGGTCACGACGAAGCTGATTCTAAAATAACCTTTTTCCTAACGAAAATCTCCGAAAACCAGGAGGTAGTTATTAAATGCTCAGACACTGATATTATTGTAATCGTTCTAGCTAAAGGCCCCCACAGACTGCGTTTTTGTTTGACGGTTTTGTTCGACGAGCAAATCTGGTCGAGCAAAAACGACGCAAAACCGAAGCGTGTGTGCGAAAAGTTTTCGTTTTTGCTGGCATACAAAACCGATGCAAATATCTGGCTTCGCCTGATTATGTCCGTCGAATATGATCGATATGTCAAGAAATCTGAAGTGTGTGGGCTACGAATTTTAAAAACGACGGTTTCATGTGGTGTGTGGTGCGTAGCTACAGAATTTTATGTTTAAAAACTTTACAACATGACTGATCTTCGCCAAACTAAACCGAGGTCTGTGGGCAACTCCGATCCGTCGTTTTTGCTTAACCAGATTTGCTCGTCGAACAAAACCGTCAAACAATAACGCAGTCTGTGGGGGCCTTAACATGCAGTGGGTTTCTGAAAATGTAAAGGTATGGCTTCTTTTTGGTACCGGAAATCATAAAAGGTACAATTTTTGTAATAAGTACGCAGTGATTCATTTAACATCCATGCAAATTTACAGGTTCATAAATATAAACAAACTGTACGCTCAATTGGGAGCACTCCTGTGCAAAGGATTAACTGACTTTCATGCATTCACGGGATGCGACTATAATCCATCCTTTTATAGGATTGCAAAACGCAAACCATGGACTTATATCAGCAATGAGAATATCCAGAAAGCGTTCACTGATGTACAAGACCCTGATGGGCACAATTTTGAGGACGCTTGTTCGACAATAGAAGAGTTCCTTTGCACTGTATGCTACTCAAAGGAACGGCCTAAAACATTTGAATAATGTCGGTGAAGCGAGGTTGCACCTGTTTACTCGGTGCTACAGCATGCTTGAATCGACAGAGAATTTCAAAAAAAAACTGTTAGAATTCGACGCATGTCTGTTACCACCATGTAAGAGAGAGTTTCGTCAGCAAATAAGAAGTGCCTTTATAGGTCACATGTGGAGTCATGCATACTTGTCCGTACCCACCGCATTGAATCCATGTGACTTTGGTTGGTTCCTACAAGAAGATATATATCAATTGAGATAAACATTCAGCTTATTGAAAAATTCGTGGGCAACTGTAAGTCCGGTATTCATAGTGCCTACTTGAGTGCTGAGGATTCCTTGAAGGTGACCTTCGCAGTAAATTGTCTTGCAGAGTCAAAATTGTCAAGGCGTCCTTACGCCGCTCATGCGTATTTCGGCACATTTCCTTCCTTGACTTGAGGAATGTCCAGAGGTCCCTTGAGACTGGTTTTCTAACCTATTGGTGACAGCACGTGAACCTAATTGGTGACAGTACGTGAACTGTATTTCATTGATGTGCAAAGTTTATTTTAAGTATTGTAATTAGTATGGATGAGCTGGAAAATTTATTTGCAGAGATAAATGTCGCTGATGATGATAACCGCGTGTGGCTAAATTCAGCTGGTATAGGCACCGTGGTGGAATGGTAGAAAAAGCAGTATTAAATTAAACAGGCATTAGCATGCATTAGTGAGTCGATAAATCACTGCATCCGTGGCATTGCAACATTTTGGTGAATTTAGCCACACGCGGATTGTGCTGCGGAGGCCAAGAAGGTACATTCAAGAATCGAGACATGCAGAATCCATTAGGATTCCAAATTAAAGAAGTAGTCCATGTCTCAAAGTGGAGTTGAAATTCCAAAAGAATACACAAAGCCTTCCTCCACAAAATACTTTGATCAAGTTAAAGCGCTCTACATGTTTCGAGACAAGAAGCTCTCTTCATCAGAGGCAAGTTCGCTCACATATTACAAAAGAACAAAGTATTTTAGGTCGCTAGACTTCGCATTTGGTAGAGGAAAAAGAAACAGAAAGTTGAAACACCAAAAAATTAATAGATTAATTGTATATACACGGTGTAAAAAAAATAGTGTACCGGACTTCGAGGGGTAATACTACATATGAAAATAAGAAAAAAGTTCCTATGAATATGCCCTAAGATGCTCCCTGAAGAAGTTACAGCCCTTCAAATGGTAGATGAAAATAATAGATTTTATTTATTTTCATCATTGGAAGTAAATTTAACGAAAACAGAATATATGACTATAGGAGGTGAACAACGAAATCTGAAATTGAATAACGGACAAGAAATAAAACAATGTTCTGATTACAAATATTTGGGCATGAAAATCTCACACGAGGGAACCCTAGACGAAGCAATTAAAGATAGGAATATACAAGGACGCAAGGCGATATCCCTACTAAATGGTGTACTGTGGGATCAAAATATCAACAAAACTAACAAAACGAGAATATACAACACCATAGTCAAAAGCATAGTCACGTATAGTTCAGAAGTCTGGCCACTAAAGATCAGAACCGCAAAAATGCTGGAAGCAACTGAAATGGACTTTTGGAGGAGGTCGGCAGGCAGGTCAAAAATGGAGAGGATAACAAATCTGAGAATTAGGGAGATTATGGACGTAAAACACACAATAATAGATGATATAAAGGACAAACAGCTGATTTGGTTCGGACATGTACAAAGAATGGCAGATACAAGAATACTCAAGCAAATACTCGAGTGGATGCCAGGGGGAAGAAGAAGACGCGGCAGACCAAGAAGAAGCTGGAGAAGTGGTGTAGACGAGGAAATGAAGGACAGAGGCCTAGAAGAGGATGCCTGGATTGACAGAGATGGTTGGAGATCGGGAATCGGAAGACGTAGAACGTTATAAACCGATAATTATATATATATATATATATATATATATATATATATATATATATATATATATATATATATATATATATATATATATATATATATATATATTTACAGAGTATCTTGACCGGAGAATTTATAAACAATGGGAGTTTCTTGGGGTATCGGTCGTCTTGAAGGGCTAGGAAATAAAAATCTCTTTTTCCACTAAGCCGAGCTTTCGGCAATTATTTATTGCCTTCGTCAGGGCTACAACAATATAAAAGATCTTATTATTATGAATAATCAAAACTATGACTAGGACATATAAATTTTTAACTATAACTTACTTGCAAAGTGAGAATTTTAGTGGAAAAAGAGATTTTTATTTCCTAGCCCTTCAAGACGACCGATACCCCAAGAAACTCCCATTGTTTATATATATATATATATATATATATATATATATATATATATATATTTACAGAGTATCTTGACCGGAGAATTTATAAACAATGGGAGTTTCTTGGGGTATCGGTCGTCTTGAAGGGCTGGGAAATAAATTGTTTATATATATATATATATATATATATATATATATATATATATATATATATATATTTATTTTCACGAATATTGCATCAGTGCCAAAATATTTTCCTGGAAATTTGGTATTCTCGCATACATTTCGATACCAAAGCGAATGGTGATAGTAAAAAAAATCGTAACAGTTTCGAAAGGGTAGTTTCAATAAGGGTAGAGGGTAGTTTACTCACAAAACAAAAAAGTATCTCAGGGCATATGTTCATAGGAACTTTTTTCATTATCTTCATATGTAGTATCACCTTTCAAAGTCCGGAACCTACACTATTTTTTTACACTCTGTATAATTTTCGTTATCTTGAATTTTTAATAATAATTGACTTCGCTACGTAATATTATTCTTATTTTGTCAATTATTATTCTTATATCGCGAAGCAACTTCATGGTTGTCGGTTATCTACAAAATGGTCAAGCAAATACAATTTTCATCCCAGGCAGCCTGTTTTCCCTAGAATAATGAATTTGTTTGGATTTAATTCAGAATGAGGTCTGAATTGAACTGCGCTTGCGTATTTGTTTATTTATGTTCTTTATGAACAAATGCGCAAGCGCAGATTATTTCAGAACTGATTCTGAACTAATTCCGAACAAACCTAATACGGCGTCTATTTTTTTATTTTCAACTATGACTCTATGCTGAGCTCCCATCTGAACCAAGAGCATTTTCTCAGTCTCAGTGTACTTGATCGCCATAATTACTTGCGCATGAATTCCACAGACAAATCACATTTTCTACAGCTATCTGACCTTTTTCTCATAGAACCATATATTAATAATGACAACTTAATGACAATAACAATAGACATTTCGTAGAAACCGTTGTTGCCAGTTGCAAAACTTATGCCAAGGCTTCCTTCAATAAGGATTCTTTAATTCGCTACTATGAAACGCCAAAGTCGCATACCACCAAGGCGTCCTTATTCAAGGCGACCTTCAAGTCGCGAGGAGTCCTTAATTTGAGGTGTGACTGAGAATACGGGCCTAAATTGCCGTTCCAGAACGCCATGTCGGTTGGAACAGAGTTATCTACTTCTTAACTCAAAACTTTTGTTGGGCCCATTTGCAGGTGCAACTTCGATTGATGAAATTGAGGATGACGTTGCGGAGGAGGAAGAGAAGGAGGGGGAGGAGGAGGACGAGGAGGAGGAGGACGAGGAGGAGGAGGAGGACAAGAAGGAGGACGAGGAGGAGGAGGAGGAGGAGGAGGAGGAGGAGGAGGAGGAGGAGGAGGAGGAGGAGGAGGAGGAGGAGGAGGAGGAGGAGGAGGAGGAGGAGGAGGAGGAGGAGGAGGAGGAGGAGGAGGAGGAGGAGGAGGAGGAGGAGGAGGAGGAGGAGGAGGAGGAGGAGGAGGAGGAGGAGGAGGAGGAGGAGGAGGAGGAGGAGGAGGAGGAGGAGGAGGAGGAGGAGGAGGAGGAGGAGGAGGAGGAGGAGGAGGAGGAGGAGGAGGAGGACGAGGACGAGGACGAGGACGAGGACGAGAAGGAGGAGGACGAGGACGAATCTGAGTCTGAAATTGACGGTAATGACGATAATTATGGCGTCGATGATGAGGACTCTCCATCTTCCACAGACATAGACAACAGTGAAAGTGGAGATGAAAGCTCCTGAAGATTCACAATTAGTATTTTTCGGTTACTTGTTTTTTTTTTTAAATTTAATTTTGGAAAAAAATAATTATCTTATTGTCAAAGTTGATTTATTATAAATGTCTCCTATCCTAACTGGTGCATAGCTGTTTCATTTGACGTTTTTGACAGAAAACCTGTTTGTCCTGTTGCGAATCGAGTGTTTAGCTTCATACGCAGTGTTGCCAGTAGTTGACCGAGAAATTCCGCCACCAGCCGTACAGGGTGTTCTAAATTTGAGGGCCAACATGAGAATATCGGTAACCGTTAGAGATACGAGGTTGGTTAAATTAGACAAAAGTTGCGCATTTATGTGCCGGTGAGAAATTTAAAAAAAAATCTTGTTTATGGTGATCATGGAGCCACAGAGACGAAACGTGAGAATTAAAATCTAGTAGCATCATTTTATGGAGCACAAAAAAAAAACTTTGAAAAAGTGCCCGTTTTTTCTCTGCAGCTTTTTCAATAAGGCAAACGAAAATTAAAAATGAAAAATCAAAATTTTACTTTTACCAAAAAATCTCGAAAACCAGAAATATACTTTTCAATTTCTTACCGACCAATTGTTGGGCACATAAATACGCAACTTTTCTCTAATTTAACCACCCTCGTATCTGTAACGGTTATCGATATCCTCATGTTGGCCCTCGAATTTGGAACACCCTGTAAACCTATAAACAATAAAAATACAAAATGCTACAGAAAAAATTATCAGTTTTAGATTGAGTATATACCTGTGATTCGGGATTTCAATATAAATATTCCTCATGTTGTTTAAAAAATTTCATATATTATATCACAAGAGCTTCAAATGTAATAGATTAAACTATCCAACATATTTTGAGCATGATTTTGCTTGGAAAATAGTTGAATGCAGAATATTTCTATCAAAATTCTGCCAAAAAAGATAAACAAAAATTTAGGCTATGGTACGAATATAACCAAACGTTAACCAAAGTAACCGAATCGGTTGACAGATGGTTACTGAAAATTCCGGTTACTTGGGGAACGCGAATATGGAATAAAAAATAATTGACAGAATTTACAAATAAAACCAACAGAACCGACATTTGATAGCCGGTAACTATTTTGACATTTGGTTGACTAGGTTTCAGAAAACCAAGGTCCAAAAGTAACCACTATTCCAGGAACCAGAGTAATTTGATTACTTTCGGACCGCGAAACCACAACCCTGGTTATATTCGGACCACAGCCTTAAGCCTAGTCTCCATAGACGCGAAATCGCGGAAAGCGAATTTTTTAAGTGTCATTTTTTAGTGCCTATTTCCGAGCAAATTATTCCCCTGTCTCCATAAGCGCGAAATTCGCGTTTTATTTAACAGGTGAAGGTTATGTGTTGTTGTTTGTAATCAATTTGAATTTGATTTAAATGTTTTGAATTTCAAACACTAATCTTTGAAAACCATGAAAGTGATTACTAAAAAACAAAAAAAGATATGTGTCTTGGTGTTGTCTTATTTACATTTTTCTCTATTAAAAAAAAATACATTTGTATCTAGACGTCGGCCGCGATGGTGGGTTAGAGACATTTTCAGAAAAAGGAAAGAACAAGGAGCATTTTACGCCCTCCTGGCGGAAATGCGACTCAATGATCCGGAAAAATACTGTCATATTCCTCCATAATATCATGACATTGTACCTTTTACGACCCTCGAATACTTTCCCAAATAATGTCTCGCCGTCGCCGAAAGCAATATTATTATATGACCCAGACTTTCTGTTAAAGAACCCAAAGATATTGTATGTAAATAAATTAAACATTTGTCCACCATAAACCCCAAAATTCCCAAATATCCTTAATGGTCATTCTTTGGGCGAACAGACTGTCATTTATTGTTAATATTTATTTAGGGTTTTCCAGTTGTAATTATGTAGGTTTTAGAAACGTTTTAGAAGGGATGTAAAGGTCGATTTGTAAGAGATCTAGTGAAGCAAGAAGACAGTCTTAAGACAGCTTCAGTCGTAGTAACACATCTTGTTAAAACTCTCTCTAAAATAAGTCTTACTTTTGCTGTAGTTCAATTTCATTCTATATTCCATTACCTAATAAAGCTACAAGTTTCAAACCAAAAACAAAAGTAGTTTTAACCAAGGCAAAACACTGAAGGATCACAACAGATTTTGGCGCGGTCGGTACGATTCAGAAGTATCTAGCAAGATCCAGCAGGATTTGGATACAAAGATTCAAGACATACCATAGTCAGCCAAAGCTATCATCAGCGTTGACCAGTATTGGATTGAATCACAGTTGTTGTGTAACCACTAGCTTTCAAGTTTTTTGGTAAGTGATTTTTGTCTCTTAATGAGGTTACTTTTGTTTGTCTAACTCCTTTATTAATACTTATATGCCACTATGACTCCTCCTGCCGTAAACCCAGACCTACAAACAATATTATTAGAAACTTTTCAAAACATTTTTAATCAACTTCCTTCGTCAAATTCCAACCCAAATAATGGTAGGTTTTCCGTAGATTTTTTATGCAAACTAATACCTAATAGTTTTGATGGCAATCGTCTTGAATTAGGGCAATTTTTAGCGAATTATTATTACAATTCGTATTAGCACAGGACGATCAGAAACATCCTCTTTTATATTTTATTTTATCTCGAATCGGTGGCAAAGCTAAAGAACAGTTAGCTACCCAAAACTTTGATAATTGGGACACCTTAAAAGACGCTTTAAAAACTTTATATCAAGACAAAAAACATTACGTTCAATTAATGGAAGAGCTAAATAATTGCAAACAAAGTCCTAATGAATCAGTGAAAGACTTTTTTCAACGTTTGGAAACAATTAACTCGCGATTGATATCTACTACTCAACAAAATTGCACAGAACCGGAAGAGATTCCTGGAAAACTGAAAATGTTGAACGAAATTGCTTTAAATAGATTTATTTATCATTCGAAACCCGAAATTTCGCGAATGTTGAGATGGAAAGATTTTAATTCGATTAATTCTGCATATAGTGCAGCTATTTCTGAAGAACGCGCTGTGGCTATGTCGCGCAGTTCAACTCAGTTTTGCAAAAATTGCAAAAACAACTCGCATTCTACAAATAATTGTTTCAAAACAAGAAATCATGATGCAAACGTAAGAACTTTGTTTACGAATAATCAGATATTTTGTCGTTACTGCAAAAAACAAGGGCATGTTATTGAAGAATGTAGAAAAAGACAATATAATAATAATGCAGGAAGATCTAATAATTCGATGAATTTCCATGTTAATCGACAGCATACTAACCAATCTCATAAAAACTCTAATTCCCAAAACTCAAACTATCAATGTAATAATAGAAATCAAAACTCTAATTCTCAAAACTTAAACCAAAACTCGAGCAATCAAATTAATAGAAGACCTTATCGAAATTCGACAAATCATAATCCAGTTTTTCGCGACTCACCTCATACGAATTCAAGGCAGAACGCGAACGTTAATTCAATTCAATACAATTCTAATGTACCAAATTATCAACCAAGTCATTCAAATTCTTTAAACTCCAACGCTCCTCCAATGACGAACACCTCACTGGAGGATCATCTCAAAACTTTAGCGGTGTTCGAGAACGACGAGAACTAACAATATTTCTTGCTGAAAATAGCTCAAGTTTCATTGAACTAGAAAGTAAATATTCAAAAAATCAAAACAAAAAACTCCGATTTTTACTTGATACTGGTGCAAGCTGCTCATTGATAAAAGCCAACAAACTCAATCCTGAGAGAACTAAATTTGTTCCTTCAGAAAAAATATCTCTTCATGGACTCTGTCCTAATTCTCCAATTCAAACAGTTGGAACTACCACTATTCCTTTTAACATTAACAATCAGATTTTGAACATAAAATTCCACATACTAAATCAGGCTACAAACGTCCCTTATGACGGTCTAATTGGATTGGATTTTATTCAAGATCAAAACGCAAAAATCGATTTTAAAAAACGAGCTCTATCTCTAAACTCATTGCCATTTCAAATCCCTATCGGATTAAACGCTAATCCTAACACTGGTTCTTATTTTGTTCTCAAATCTCGTACGGAAACAATAATAGAAATCAACGTTCTAAACCCGGAAATAAAAGAAGGGATCATACCAGATATGGAAATATTTAAGGGAATCTATTTATCCCGAGCATTGACTAAAGTAAATTCAAATAATAAAGCTTTTGCAACAATCTTAAACTCAAAAGTAATTGATTTTCAATTAAAACCTATTTCAATCTATTTAGAACAGATTCCTAAAGAAAGCTACTGTTATTTTGCTTCGGAACAAAGTACTGAAAATAATTTTATTAAAAATAGGAGCCAACTATTGAAACAAAATCTTAGATTCGACCATTTAAACCAAGAAGAAAAGAGCTTCATAACTAATCTTTGTGAAAATTATGAAGATATTTTCTTTCTACCTGGAGATACCCTTGGTTGTACTAACACTATTAAACATGAAATAAACATCTCTGATTCTAAGCCCATTCATACAAAAACGTACAGATACCCAGAAATTCATAAAACCGAAGTTAATAAACAAATCAATAAAATGTTACAACAGGGAATAATTCAACCGTCTGCATCGCCTTGGTCTGCCCCTCTATGGGTAGTACAAAAAAAAATGGACGCTTCGGGGGAACAAAAATGGCGCGTAGTGGTTGATTTTAGAAAATTGAATGAAGTTACAGTTGGTGATGCATATCCAATGCCAAATATCGAAGAAATTTTAGATCAATTAGGCCATAGTAAATATTTCACCACACTCGATTTGGCTTCTGGTTTCCATCAGATTCCAATGAGAGAAGAAGATAAACCAAAAACCGCTTTCACTACACCTTTAGGTCACTGGGAATTTAATCGAATGCCTTTTGGATTAAAAAATGCACCCGCTTGTTTTCAAAGACTAATGAATGCAGTTCTTACTGGTTTACAAGGGTTACAGTGTTTCGTTTATCTAGACGACATAGTTATTTATG